ACCCCCAATCTCCGTCACTTCTGACGTAACTCGAAGTGACTACGAAAGGGAACGTCTCGGTTACGTATGTAACCCTCGTTCCCTGAGTAGGGAACGGAGACGTTACGTCTCCTTGCCACTTCTGCTGTATCGCTGGGTAGATGCCGAGTTCAGTCTTGGCTCCTCAGCGAAGACATACTGCGGTTGCGTTCACTTCCTCCTTTTATACTCACGGAGTAGGGCGGAGTACGCTATGCAAATTTCCGCAGCCCCAAGGCATTGCATGCCATTGGCTCGTGTTTAAATACTCGAAGAGGATTGGCTTTCTATGCGAAACCCCCAATCTCCGTCACTTCTGACGTAACGTCTCCGTTCCCTACTCAGGGAACGAGGGTTACATACGTAACCGAGACGTTATTCTTTGTGTACGCAAAATGCTCCCACACTGCTGACTTGAGACGGTTTTTTCTTTTCTGTGGAAATAGAGCGTCGCTGCTTAGTCCCTCTGCCATAGTGACTGATGAGCACTTTAAGCTGGTGCACTGCTGGTGTAACTTTGTTTTAGTTTTGTGTTAGTTGCCCGTGCAGAATACACGGTGTAGCAAAGTCTTTACGATTAATTAACCGTGACATTTTAAATCGCGGTTAATTGTGAAATCCGGTAATCGCTGCATCCCTACGCGTGACGCCGAAATGGATGCCCTAAGATTCTGAATGGAAAGTTTACTTTTAAAAAGTTGCCATATTGTTCCATTGACAAGACCAAGTGATCTGTGTTTTGTCGTTGTGAACTGAGCTATCATCATCGCAGCACGTCCAGTCTGAAACACCACTTGATGATGGCCAAGCAAACACACAGACACACACACACACACAGTTGATGTAAATTCTCCACCCCCTCGCCAATATTAGGACCTCGTCAGTATTTCTTTCACCCTTTTATTGATAGACAGTGTTACATTGAGTGAGAGATTATTTATATATGTTAGTGTAAAACTAGTGTGAAAGTTGAACACTATTCCAATGTTATTTTCAATAATAATATTTCCACTTTTCCATATTGATAAGAGCATAAAAATGAGAAAAAAAATAATGTAACAAAAAGAAATCAAGAGATATTTAGAATAGATAAAAATGTGCAATTAATCGCGAGTTAACTACGACATTAATGCGATTAATCGCGATTAAATATTTTAATCGTTTGACAGCACTAATTATAAGTTTTAAATGTATACATGACTTTAAAGGTTCTCTGAGCGATCCTGGGTGTTGACGTTCGGAATATTTTCAAACAAATCGGAGGCTAGCTAGACCCTCCCTCCTCCGCATCTCATCTCCTCCCCCTCCCTTCCAGTCTTCCTGAAATAATTGTGAACGTGCATTTCTAGCTAATTATATCCTTGTGTGGGTTTGGAGAACATAAGTGTCAATTTAGAAGAAAAAAAACTATTTAACGTTACCCACCTGTCCAGCAAAATCAGAGCAACCTGAATGTCGGACTGGAAGCCCTTCTGCCGCCGGAGTTCTCGCCATCGTTCAAAAGCTTTGCTACCGATGTAAATTCGGAACTTCGCACGTTCTTTATCCGACTTCTTTTTAATTTGTTCTTCAGAACGACGTCTCTTTGGTCGTGTTTCGGCCATTTTTCAAACTTCCCTCTCATGCTTCTCTCTCCTTCACACACACACCCCCTTCATGTGCACGCGCACTAACCCCCCAGACCCACCCTCAAATACTTCTTGCCAGTGATTGGCTGGAAACACTGTTTGTTAGGTTTCGTGGTCCGGGTGAGACATGATTGTTTTTGTTGCCGTTTTTGGAGCCTGTGGTGTCTACAGAGACCGCGTTTTTTTACAGTGTGTTTAGGGGACAGGCAGCTAGCCGATAGTAAGGAGACGTTTGATGTATGTGACAAAAAATGTTTTGGCCCCACATCGCTTAGAGAACCTTTAAAACATAAGTTTTAAAACATAAAATTCATTTTATTGTCACTGAATACATTTATTCAGAAAATATTAATTTTATTAATTAATTAATTAATATTTCTTTTTATTAATTAATTTTATGTGATAAGTGATAACAGAGGAGAAAAACCTAAAACGGTTTGCTAGTATCGGTGTGATACTATAAACATGCACGATCAACAGCAAAGTACATTTTTATATAAATAAGATCACGCTCCCTTTATCTGTTGCTGGTTTGAGAGATGGGGAGTCACACTCTCATTCATTTAGCGAAGATGAAATAAAGATAATAAACCCCTTCTCACTTTTTAAAGATATGGAGGTCGTCAACTCTCTTTATGTAGGGATCTGCCAACGTCAACTGCGCTGTCCACAGCTAGTGCAAAACGCTGCAGCCAGGCTTCTAACTGGCACTAAAAAAAAGGACCACATTACCCCAGTACTACGATGTATTCATTGGCTACCGGTTCACTATAGGATTGAGTATAAGATTTTATTAATGGTTTTTAAAGCTATGCATAGCATGTCCCCAAACTACATTGTTGACCTTTTGGGAGCGTACAAATCAGGCAGGACATTAAGATCAACAAATCAACTTTTGCTGACAGTCCCTTACTCTAAAAAGAAGAGAAAGGGTGACCGAGCCTTCTCAGTTGCGGCCCCCAAGTTGTGGAATAATCTCCCCGCTAATATCCGGCTAGCTCACACAATAGAAATTTTCAAGTCCAAATTAAAAACGTATCTTTTAAACTTAGCTTTCAGTTGGTGCATTGTACAGTGTAGATTTAATTTAGTCACTTAGTTTTTAATTTATTTTTAATCCTTTCTACAATGTCCTCACTATACTGTTACATGACTGTACATTCACACCGCCGCCGACTTGAGCATCAAAGAAGCTCTGGCCGCTCTGTCAAGGACGCTTGTAAAAAAGTGCGGGGGAGCTTGTTGACGCTTTGAACGCTCTGACGTTGCAGGGAGAATAGAAGTGTCACAAAATGAAATGTAATAAACAGAAAAAAAACAAGCAATACATAAAGAAAGCTTTTATAATGATAGCATTTTTATAACCGTTTTGGTCAAATTAGCTATTATTATTATTATTATTATTTGCGGTCAAATCGGTGTCACCATGAGCAAATTAATTGCATTACCGCTTTAAAACGAGCGTTCGTAAATATTTCAAATAAAAGTTGCGCTCATGCGGTCCCTATAAGCAAACAACATCATGTCATAAATGATAGGAAACCTGCAGGCAGCCCAGCAACGGCGATTATTAGCTTCTCTTCCATTTACTCGGAACTAGTGTTTTGGTAGGAACGAAAGTTTACATCGTATATTTCTCTGGAATCAGCCAGCGTGAAGGACGTCTATATTCTGATTGGTTACTGGCGTTTTGCCACTGGTTGCCGCTGAACCACGTCACAGCTCATTACTATAAAGCTGAGCTTCTTTCAACTTTCTGATTGACACTCAAAATGCCCAAACGCGACGCCAATGAATTTGATGCTCCTTGCAGCTGAGAGAAGCCAGCTTCCATTGAAAATGAATGACTTCCGGCCGCTTTGGAAGCTCAAGACATTCGGTGTGAATGTACAATCAGGGAGTATGTCTAAGAGTGTATGGTCTACTTTCATACATGCTTTTATACATGAACGTCTTACTGTTTTGAGTTAACTGTGAAGCACTTTGGGCAACAACATTACTATTAAATGTGCTATATAAATAAATAAAAGTTGAAGTTGAAAGAAATAAAGATAATATAATAGAGAATTATGATTATGAATTATGATGAAAAGAACTTATGATGAACAGTTTTGAGCAATGAAAACACACCTTAAATTCATTGTCATGTTAAACAAAAAAACTCTCAGAACTGTTGGCTGCACTGACTGCCTGCTTCAAACATCATGATAACACACAGCATATATGATACAATAATTGTAAGAAATTCTTATTTTAAATTTTAGAAAGTAGAATAGGGGAAATAGTCTGGAAACACAAATATTTTTCCGATTTTCTTTTTTCCATTTTATCCAGACTTACGGCCTGTTGTATGAACAGCCTCAATATATAGATTGTGTCTTAAGCCGGGCATACCCTGTGAGATTTTTGTCTGATTTTAAGCAAAATTCTGACTTGTGACTTTTTTGAGTCGGGCTGAAAGCTCTGTCATGCGTCATTTGTCGTGCAGTGTACAGGGGGAAACGAGAAGTGAAGTCATTCAACCCCAAGTCCTCAGTGTCACATGATCCTTCAGAAATCATTCAAATATGCTGATTTGATGCATTAAAAAAATATTACTTATTATTATCAGTTGGGTTAGTTCTTTTTTTTTTTGGACACCATAAAGCATCTCTGAAAAAAAAAAGCTGATCCCATAATTTTGAACAGTAGTTTGAACAGTCACTTATGAGGATCCGTAAGAATTAGACAGCAAGTCAGATCACTGGATCTGGGAACAGTAAATGGTCCTTTAATTACAGTGTTTGAAAGGCACCCCCGTATTTGTTTATTCTAAACCTTTAACTCCAAGTATCAATTAATTGACACATTAATAATTACTTCATTCTAAATCACCTAACATTCAAACTCCACTTAAACTTAGCTAAAAGTCTGTAGATTGGCTTGAAGAATCTAGGTAACATTTTGAGAGTTTCAGAGCAGTTTAATGGTTCAGTTTACAGACCCTAAACAAGTCTGATATTTCATGACAGCTTATTTAGTGAGATCTGTCAGGGGTCAGATATTTTTGTAAAATTATATTCAAACTTCTCATGTCATGAAAAGATTTTGGTCACATCACCCACTCCTGTCAAAATATAATTATTGTACAGTAAAATCATTGCCCATTTGTTGTCCACACATATCTCACCAAGAGATGCTAATGCTCCAGATTGTATCTGACAGCGATCAGGTTTCGTAATGTATCTATTTTAGTCAAGGAAGTGATGCCATCTCTCCAGGATAGGGGCGTATGCTTAGTCATGGTGATGTAATGTGCTCAGTATCCAGGCTGACAGGACGTTGTTTCCATGGTGACAAGGTAATTGGTCTCACCTGGTTGGATGCTCTCCAGGGCATCCCACTCCTCTTGTGCTCGCTCCACCTCCAAGCTCACCTCTACACAGACAAAATCACACACACACACACACACACACATAAAGTAAAATATGTTGTTGAACTACTGACATCATTCTGTGTGTAAAATGTTTCTGAGTGATGAAGTCTTTACCTTCTGTTTTAGTCTGATTGCCTCCTGCTGCCAGAGACTGTAAGAGTCCATTCTGTTTTAGTGCTGAGATCTACACAACCACAAGTTCACGACATTACCATTGCTATTCAAACCAGTAACATCATGTGACTATGTTTAAGTAAAATACTCACAGGGACAGTTTTAAGATAAGGGTTGCCATTCAAGTTGCCATTCTCTTTGATGCAATTACCTGGAGACAATCCATTTAGGATCTAAAAAAAAATACAAAGCACAGCAACAGAAAGCAACCGTGATCCATGCAGATAGTGACAAGACCTGGTTTAACTGAACAAATATTAGCAGCGTGTACTCACAGTTGTGCATTTGGAGTGCCCATTGGTTAGGTCCTCTGTCTGTTTACATTCTTGTGGAAAACCATTCAAGCCCTAAAAGGAAGAAATTAAAAAACATATATATAAAAATGTTATAAAATCAGTAACACTTTACGATAAGGTTCATTATTTAACTTTAGTTAACTACTTTAGTTAACATAAACTAAGAATGAGCAATACTTCTAAAGCATTTATTAATCTTAGTTAATCTTAATTTCAACATTTACTAAAAACATTTATTCAAATCAATTATATTTGTTAACATAAAGTTAATGCACTGTGAACTAACATGCACAAATAATGAACAGCTGTATTTGTATTAACTAACACTAACAAAGATAGTTAGAAGATAGAATAAATATTGTAATAACAAATGAATTGCTCATAGTTAGTTCATGTTAATTAAAACATTAACTAATGTTAACTAATGAACCATATTGTAAAGTGTTAACAAACAAACTGTATTGATCATATTATTAATTTCCCCAAATTATTGTGAAAACCTGCCACAAATGTTTGAAATTCAACTACATTTAAAACAACATTTCAAATGCAAGTATGTCTGAAATTAATTATATCAAAGTATTTCCAATCGAACATTTTAAAAGGAATCGCAATGTCCATTTAAAGCTGCACTGATAGATTTGAAGATGAACTTAAGTCTAAATTATGAGCACTTTACAAATGCAATTACGATTACATTTGAACAGTGCTTTTTTTCATTTACAATATATAATCAGTGTAGTGTCCATGTTGTGAAATTCCCTCTGTATTGTCTGCTCCCAGAGTAAAATAGAGAGGAGGTGTAAATTATAGTATGCATCACCTGTTAAGAAATTTTAAATGCAGCATCAACTGGACATCTGTGTATATGCATTCCCCAATATTACAAAATCAGTCCTGAGCTGGTATAGTACAGTAGACTATAGTTCGGCTTTTTCAAAGATTAGCAGACTAAATGGACTTCTATGACTACCAGGGCTCCAGACTAACTTTTTTTTACTAGGAGCGCTGTTGCCCCTGACTGAAAATTTTAGGAGCGCAAGCAAAAAATTTAGGGGCACACCTTAAATAAGCTTGCAATGCAATTATTAAAATTTCCCACAAAATAACTGTAATACTGATGAATTCTTTAATAATAAATAGACTTAACATTATGATATGCTGTTTTATTTTAACTTCACAGGGCTCCAGACCCAAAGTTAAGGGCAGCATCACCTCAAATGAGAACTCACAGTTCTATAAAAAAAAAAAAAAAAATCTGGTAGCACTGGGGCTAACAATAAATCACTAAGCTTAATTTAGGGTGTAGATGAAATTAACTTTAGTTTTTATCATTTATAATGTCTTAATATTAATTAATAAAAGTAGTGAAAATATGTATATGGAGTGAAAATAGCCAATAAACATCCTACTGTTTACAATGGTATTATTATTATTATTTTAAGTGTTTAAATAAGAGTTTTCCAACATCTTAACATTTTTCGTTTAAGGACAATCTTTAAAGGATGAACAAAAAATGTGTTGGTATGGTAATCACATAAAAAATACAAAAAAATAAAACATTTATATATGATATTATTGAAGTGCTGGGAAAGGATGTGTAGTAGGCTACTTACACATTATCATATTTATGGTAAGAGTTAACTTGCCTAAATTCATGGTTCTGTTAGGCTGATTTGTGGACTGAAAGCCTTCTATAAGTGTTTTTCCTGGTTTCCACGTCAGCGCTGTTTGATCTGATATGGTTTAACAGAACTCTGCGCCGAATCGGAGTGTTTCTCACTGGATCTCGTGGTGTTGATGTTATTAATTCTGAGGCGAATTCAATGGATTTCTTCACTGGCTCTCTCCTAGTAACAGTGTTGCGTGAGCGAGATCAGCCCGCGACTGGCAAGTTCGGGGCTTTATTTTGTCAATGGTTCGGATCGCTGCTGCAGCTCCACGGTCCTAATCATACATGAGTGGCGTATTTTCGTTCCATTTTCATTTTGTTTGCATTCGTTGCTAGGTAACGACTAAAGAGTCGATAGATCGCTGATTGCTCAGACGCACATCAGTTTGTGATATTTGTTTCCGTCTCCTTCCCACAAACGTTTACGCGCGCTATTCTTGTCACGGATTCATTGACGCGCCTCTTCCACGCTTACCATGAGTTTAACGTGTGGCAAATTTACTGGTCGCACATGTGCGACTGGATGTAAAATTCAGTCGCACACTCTCAATTTTTGGTCGCAAAATGCGACCATTTGGTCGCAGTCTGGAGCCCTGACTACGTTTACAGGCATCCAATAACCCGTTCAAAACCGGAATATTAGCAATAACCCGGTCTCGAACGGCCATGTAAACACCGGCAAAAACCCGAATATGCTCATATATATTTAAAAACTGGGGATCGCTTTTAAAAAAGGTGATCACTATCTGCGAACTATTCATTATCCGCATGCTGCTGTTGTTGTTGTCTTTGGATACAGGAAGAAGAATCAGAAATGACGCATATTGCATCTTAAGGTTGTCCTTACGTCTAGACGCTAACCGCGCGTCGCCGTTTAAATCGGGATATTTCTGTTCTCTGCTCACACATGTAAATAGGTTATTCCTAATGTTTCAGAAACCCGAATAGTGACCTTAACCCGGCCATCACCTGAAAATTGGCTGCATGTAAACGTAGTCACTGTTTTATTTCAGTTCTCAGTTTCCTTTAACCCTCTGGGGTCGGCTATCGCGACAAATGGACTGCATTTATGGACTGCATTTATAGATCACTTGACAAGCTCACTTGAAGTGCAAAAGAGATACAGCAGCTGCCATATTGATACCATTGTGCTTTTGAATGGAGCCAATTCAGGGCTCGAATTTCGGCACGGGTATTGGCATAATTTTAATCATTCCCACAGCTCACCCACTTATAATGTGGGAAATTCCCGCAAACATTAATTCATTTTAGCATGTAGGCTGTATTAGAAAATGAATCCACACAGATTATAGAATCAAATCAGTAGTTTGAAAACGTCCTGCAAGACACAATTTCACAAACAGCGTGAGTTCAATGGTGCTGCATCTTCTCTCTCGTCTATCAAAACGGCTGATCAAGGCAAGGCATACATGTTGTTCACATATTATGGTAGCCATGTTTGTTCTAAATAGAGTATAATTTCACCTGTGCCATTAATATGTTTACAAGCAACTGAAAAAAGCACAAATGTCAGGACATTTTTGACATTTGACATATTTGACTCAGATGTTTCTCAGAATATTCATTAGTAAACCAAATAAACTGTATAAAAATAAATTAATCAAATTTAAAAAAAATTAAAATCCTTATTCCCAAATAAACTATAAAATTGGCAGTTCAGATCAGTGATGTCAAAATATACTGGTATTAAAAATATAACCACATTACTTCAAGCAATAAATATTGATTTTATGTTAACTATAGATCCAATAATATTGTAAACAATCCTGAGCCAGTATCTATCTATCTATCTATCTATCTATCTATCTATCTATCTATCTATCTATCTATCTATCTATCTATCTATCTATCTATCTATCTATCTATCTATCTATCTTGTTCTCTCGCAAATACTTTGTGTTCGCTCGTAAAATGTTTTCCGTTTCCTCAGGAAACCAGAACACTAAGTTTCTCGGTAGAACGTTTATGTTTTTATCTCTTGATGTGTGCTTATAGGTGAAAGTGCAATAATTCTGATGAAATGTAAAAAAACAAAAAAAAACAAAACAAAAAAAAAAAACATTTCTCAAATGTCATTGTAATTGTAATTTAACCATTATGCAGCAAGACAATGTGAAAAGTTTTCACTGACTGAAACTAGACTAAAAATCCCAGACATTTAGGCCTGGTGTCACAGACAGGGCTTAGATTAAGCTAGATTTAGGCCTTAGTTAGTTCAATTAGGACATTAAGGTAGCTTTTATAAGCATGCCTTAGGAAAAAAAAAAACATCACTGGTATGCAGCTTAAAAAAACAATGGCACTGACATATTTTAAGATATGCCAGTACTACAAATTGCTTTAATTTAAAACAGCTCAAACATGCGTTTAGTCTGGGACTAGGTTTAAGCCTTGTCTGTGAAACCAACACAGTCTCATGAAAATGCCTATCTATACCACGAATGTCATTTTTTTCGTGGCATTTATACAGCAAAAATGTTTTTTGCGTGCATATGCTACGCACTAAAAAACCCTGGGGTAGGTTTAGAGGGGAGGGGGATGGGGAGTTCGTGCATATTATACGCCAAAAAGTGCGTATCATATGCACGCGAAAAACGTGTACCATATACACGCAAAAACTGCTTTTGGCCTATAAATGCCACGAGAAATGACATTCGTGCTATAGATACGAACTTTCATGAGATCGGGCTCGTGAAACCAGGGGTTAGTCAGCTAAAACTTCACCAAACAAAAACATGACAAGGTTGACTAAATATGATAAAAACTAAAAAGTACATTTAAGGACAAAGAATAGCTGACAAAACTAACACTAGTAAATGGATACACTGCACAGAGAGGTAATTCACACACATCTCTCTCTCTTTCTCTCTCTTCACATCTCTCTCTCTTTCTCTCTCTTGATAGGCTAATTAATTCAAATAAATGTTATAATTCAATCAAATAAATGTAACCATACCACACTACTTGTCTACTATTTGTCTGATTTAAAGCAGGCAGAATGCTAGATCTAACAAGTCATAGTTGATGAAAACTGTCATTTTAACCCTTGTCATCAAATTTAGTGCTACAAACAATGCTCGTAACTTACCATGTATAAACGGGATAATTTATGGCTAGCTGTGCACGATTTTAATGCAAAGAACTAAAATATTTAAAATAAAAAACTATCAAATTCAATCACTAACTGACTAAAAAATATATTTTATTTTTAAATGTCATGTGACCATGAACATGTATTTGTTGTAAAATTGTTGAAATATTGAATTAAAATCTATATTAAGTAAACATTTTACATTTAAAAAGATCTGCTGACAAAACCTTTGGGAACCCAACTCTAGAGGACACAAATGTGCCTTTTTCTTATGAGAAATATATTGCTGTCTAATACTAACAGCTGAAATATGAAAAAGATCTGAATGGATTTTTATTTTTTACCTGTTGAAGTATAGTGTAGTGTAGTGGCTTGTAGTGCTCTAGGCAAGGATGTCATACATACCTCTGTATGTACTGTGATTGCAAGAACCCCTTCCATGACATGAGTCCACTGTCTCACTGTCCCCCTACTGTCCACCCATCCTGTGGACTAGGCCAATCGTAAACACTGCCCAATGGACACACATGGTTCTAGAGCACTTTCAACGCTTTCAGAAGCACCTGCTCCTTGTCCTACAAGCGTAGATTAAGACTGAAACAGCCGAAGACCTTTCAGTAGTGCATTGTTTAACCATGCCACTTCTTGAGATTCAAAAAGGGGCTGGTAGAGTTGGGCCAAGGAGCAGAGGCATAATTTCAGTTTTTTTAAGGTTTCGTTCTAGTGGGACTGTGCAGAAAGTTGTGAATCGTGATGGCCTTGTTGGAGATGGATTTCTCAAGTCTGTCAAGCGCTAATTGTACCGGGTCTGTGGTACATTAATAGGTGAAAGTTAGGCTTGTTATAGGTCCACTTATGTGAAACTGGAGTGTTGCAAAAGGAGCAGAAATCAGACATTGATTGGGTACAGCAGTGATGAAGCTGTATTTGACAGTGCCTGTGTTGATGACTCTGATGAAATTCTACTTGGAGGATTGAAGGCTTATTATGGGGATGTGTCGCTAAAAAGGGAGTTTAACGATGGATTGGAGGGTTACTAAGGGTCTCTTCAGAATCCTCCCTGTGGCCTTCTGATGTCAGCAACAGTCTCTGTAGGATACAATAATGTATATTAGAATATGCAAATTGTATAACATATAACATATTTCAAAAGGTACATGCAAGGCAAATATCAGCGTGTGCAAAATATAAAGGCATGATACACTCTCCTGTTTTGTTTTCATTATAGAAGAACAATGTAAAGGAGCGCTGCACAGAAAATAGGCATCCAAACGGGATGACGTCATCGTATCAAAACTGCATCCCTATGAAAACGAATTAGATGGAGTATTACGATCATCAATTACCACAGGTGAAATTTCAAAGGGTTCTTTTCGTTTTGCCATGACTTTAAAGTGCAGGCAGGCTTTATATGGCGGATAACTGAATATTTTGCATTCATAAAATTAAACGGATGAGGGGTGACGTCATCTATATCCTGACTCACAAAACCCGAACTAACTAAACATTATAATAAACATGAACGACAGACAACTCAAAAGCCAACGTATTAATCGATAATTAACGCTAATTTGGATATCAGCGACATCAGATATGATGCATCAGTTTCAAATGCGGCACAGCATGAATGTATGACAGCATCCAGCGAGCTGTCAAACACCTTTACAAAAGATACCATAACCAATATAAAGATACATGACAGTATAACTTTACACGTATTTTACTTCAGCAATCCCTAATCTAGCAACATACATTGAACATAAAATATTTATCAGGCGGCTATAATGATAAAGACCAACAAAAAAATGACCAACTTAACTCGCATAACAGTTAGGCTATATCTTCCACAAATAACGGTAATTTCAGCCCCCTCCTCATTCTCTTCAAGTTAAATGAGCAACACGAAACACTCACATTTACCTCAGCACTCAAAACCTGCAGTTACTTATTTCAGTTTAAAAAAATGTTATTTACCGTCACGTTTCAGTGAGTGACTTGTAAAGCGTCTGTCTCGCGAACCAGCTAACGTTAAACTGCCACAATCTTTTTGTACTCTCGCTTCTAGCTTAGCTAACTTGCCTATAATTAGTCTTTTACGAAATAATGTACAGCAAAACGTGCAAACAATTAAGCGTTGTCTTTCTTAGCTGCGAATTACGCAATTATACCCTTGCTAGAATGATAGGTATTAAATATTCGTTTTATTTTTACCTCAGTTTCTCTCCCTCCAATCTCTGCTTCCCTTCCCCCTTTCCACAGTAACTGAAAACCCGACGCCTTGTGGGAATTGTGGTTCTTCTACTGTAAATAGACTTCCGGTGCTGTAGGAGTGCTTAAAGTCACGCTGTTTGTTTTTTTTGTTTGTTTGTTTGTTTTTTTGTTGTTTTTTTACAGTATTTCAGCAAAAACAGTGACTGCAGTGCTTAATCTAAAAATATATAAAATGATATTTTTAATTTATGTATATGCCATTTTGTGATAGGCTATATATTTTAATAATATATGGAATATATTTGTATTTTCACAATAACAACAATAGTAAATAATGGCATAGTTTATGCTTAAATGCATCTGCTCAGCAGTAACAGAGAAGTTCCTAAAACTATTTGAATAGCAAAACATCAAGAATACACACTTAATCTGAAAGGATTCTACTACAATTAAGTATAGGCTAACAAATAACGCAGAACATCTAGATCTGATTAGATGCAAACCAAATGGAATGAAGGCAGAAAAAAGATCCAGACACAAAACTATAGGCAAAACATACATTTTATTCCGTCAAGGTCACCAAAAAAGTTTTACAAAAAATGTACCATTCCAATACACCTATGCATGTCATTTAATTTCTACGACATTACAGCAATACAACGAATAAGGATGTTTATATATTTGTCAGTTGTCCATATTTACAATCCATTCTTATCACAAGTAAACATTTATACCTCCTTCATAACCTTTTGAGTTAATTAACAAACTTTGGAAAACTTGTATGTCATACCACAAAAAATATTTTACAGAAAACAAATCATGGACAATTCCTCATTCATTGGCATTGACTACTGGCTAGCCAATAAACGCACCATGAAACGGCGTATTGATCAACCTGACATGATAAAACTTCTTACCTCAAGCTCCATTAGCAAAATTGGCATGCCAAGTTGGCCCCTATTCTCTAGCCATGACCTTGTCCACATTCTCCTCTTTCGCTTCCTACTCTTTTTTTTCAGCGCACTTAAAACCACAATTGCCAAAGTGAGATTTATCTTGCTCTATTTTACAACTATACTGCATTTTATTCCAACTTGTGTCGTAGCCTACGATTCAATTGGTGTCAAGTCTACAGTCTCCCTATATGTCATACCCAAGTTTATGTCTAGCTCTGTAACAGGGGTTAGCCACTTTGGCCCACAAGATCCACTTTCCTGCAGAGCTTATCAAAAACACCTAAACAAGCTAATCAAGGACTTCAGGATTACCTGAAAGCAGGCATGTGAGTTTGGTCAGCAGAAGAAAGAAATTCATACAGGTTTGAAAACAACTTGGGGTTGAGTGAATGATGACAGAATTTACATTTTGAAGTGAACAATTTCTTTAATTGCGGAAATTAGTAATAAAGGAAGTGCGTCCAAACTTAAAATAATATTTTCATACAACTACCCATTTATACCAGCCTTTGCAGTCTATGGTACCAGCATAGTGTAATGCAGCCACACTAATAAATTACTTTTAAAGCTGCAGTCTGTAGCTTTTTTGGGGTTAAAAATGATCTATTTTTGAGAAAATACATAACCAGCCAGTTTTCAAAACTATCTGCTTGTAATAATGTTTTTAATTCCAGTGATACTGGTGGATTTCCACGAGAGATTCAAGCATGTCTTTGCATCATTACGTCACATCTGTACACATAAAGAAGAGTCTCGGCTATATAAGCTATATTGCGTGTGAGGATGTTGGAGGTGGAGATGTATAGCCTTTTCTCTTTGATACCAATATCTCTTATTTGAATGTGTCTAGTATCTGTAAAACCACATATTTCCATCTTAAAAATATATCTAAATTATGCCATATGCTCTCATTGACAAAAGCGGAACAATTAGTTCATGCGTTCATGACATCAAGGCTAGATTATTATAATGCTCTACTGTGGTTGCCCTGCAAGCTTAATAAACAAACTTTATCTAGTTCAAAACGCAGCAGCTCGAGTTCTTACTATAACCAGGAAGTATGACCATATTAGCCCGGTTCTGTCAACCCTGCATTGGCTGCCTATTAAACATCATATCAATTTTAAAATATTGCTGATTACTTACAAAGCACCATGTTTTAGCTCCCCAGTACTTGAGAGAGCTCTTAATGCATTAGGGCCTGTTCACACATCGCGTCTTTTGCGCACTCAAGTTCGTTATTTCAAATGTATAGCAGGCGTGCGGTATGCATGCTCATAATGGAAGCGACGAGATAAAAATGTCTCAACTTTTCAGAATGCCGCAAGTGCAACATAAGCGCACCGTAGGTCACGTGACAAGAACCAACCGGAGCGCAACCGCCCTAGCGCTTTGGAAAAAGGAGAATGCGGCGTGCCCAGCGTTTTCTACGCGTTTTTAGGCGCTGTATGTGAATCTGGGCTTATAGTCATTCACGCCTATTGCGATCTCAAAACTCTGGCCAGTTGATAATACCTAGAATATCGAAATCGACTGCAGGCGGTAGATTCTTTTCCTATTTAGCACCAAAACTGTGGAACAATCTTTCTAACATTGTACGGAAAGCCGACACACTCCATCAGTTCAAATCTAGACTAAAAACACATCTATTTGGCCTAGCATACACATAACACACTATAAACTTCCTTAATTCAAAATTAGGCTGCATAGTTTAGATCAGCCGGAACCAGGAACACGTCCCGTAAATACTGATGTACTTGGTACATCATAAGAAGGATGGCATCTACGCTAATATTAGTTTCTCTGTTAATCCCGAGGGACCCTCTATGGTGGACCTGCGCCTGGACCCATCCCAACTCATCCTTAAGTGCCGGCTTAATCGACACGACAGCCATCGGCACTGATCCTCAACATCTCGTCTCCAAAACGCCGTGATTACTTCGAGATGGAAGACAGATGGAAATGGACAAATACTCTTAATGTTTCGATCCAATTTGTTTTGTAATGCTACCCGAATCACACTATTCCTTCGTTGGCCAGAGGAGAACTGGCCGCCGACTGAGCTTGGTTTCTCCCAAGGTTTTGTTCTCCATTCTGTCTCCTGAAGGAGTTTTGTTTCCTTGCCACTTTTGCCTTGGCTTTTGGCTTGCTTACTTGGGGACATTTAAAGGGTTAGTTCCCCCAAAAATGAAAATTCTGTCAGTATTTACTCACCCTCATATTGTTCCAACCCCGTAAGACCTTTGTTCATTTTCGGAACACAGATTAAGATATTTTTGATGAAATCTGAGAGCTGGATCACTTCTGCACACTAGTCCATAGGCTTCTTGAGAAATTGAAACTTGTTGGTCTCGAAAAGTTATTAAAGACATCGTTAAAATAGTCCAAGTGATTACAGTGGCTCAATCTTAAGTTTATCACGAGAAAACTTTTTGTGCACAAAAAACAAACAAAAATAACGACTTTATTTCAACTATTCATTTACAGTACTTGATTCAGCACGATTTACTGCAAAGTCAGAACCAGCACAAAAGTGGATGTTTCTTACTAGTTCAGATGACATTTTCCAGTGAAAATTCTTATGTTGGTTATATTTCCAAAAAAAATAATCTGTGATTCTGAATGCCAGTATCCACGCCGGCGCAGCGACTGACAGCCTCACAGTCTCCTCAAACATTATGTTCATCCCCACTGTGCTGTGTCGAGGGTGTCGAAGTACAACTCACGTAAATTCCTTGAATGACTGCAATTGGAGATTTCGAACAGAGATGGCGACAAAGAGGAAAAGCTTCAGACTGCAGCTTTAAGTTGAAATAAAATTTGCATAAATCATTTGGGGTTTTGAATTTTGACACTTTCTGTTCCAACTGCTCATTCTGAATCCTATTTGCATACACATCTTTTCTTGATTACTGTACAGTTTCATTATAATGGCAAATGAGATCAAATGTATAACTATACAAAGAACAAACTGAGCTTGTATGTACAATGTCTAAGATCATAAGGGTGTTAGTGGAACCAAAAGTGTTCTGATCACGTCAAGATAACAAATACTAATAAAAACTAAAGTAAACTATACTAAACTAAATAACTATTGCCTTAAAATAGCTTGAATATACACCCATCGCCTCATTTAGCATAAATAGTTCTATGGATATGCAAATTTGCCATGCCTCCATTGTCGTGATTGGTTACATAGTTTGTGACGTTGAAACAAACCCCATTTTGGAGATTGTCTTTGGTTTACTGCAGTTTTAAGGAGAAAATACTTAGCAAAGGTGTTGACTTATGAATTTGCAACATGGTTTGTCTCAAAGGCAAAGCATATTAAAAACACCACATAGGCATATAAACAACATATTCAACATGTGTCTCCCAACAGCTTTTTGCTTTGAAATTGATTTAATATAATCAGAAATGGCCAAATGTATCGGGAAAAAAGGAAAAACATTTGAAAGGCAAATGTGGCCTGCCTTTGTTGACCTCATTTCCTGCTATGTGGAATGTTGGCTCAAACAGACCTTCAAGGAGCCGAGAAGTTCCTAAAACACATGTGAATGACCAAACACCTCCTTGCTTTGGCAAGCTCATGCTAATTCAGTCCAGACGACAAGACATTTTTATGGACTGAATATTCTGGCTGTAATACGAGTCACATACCCTTTCCGGGGGAAATTTCCTTGAACATCGCTGAGAAGCTAATGGGCATAACTGACTCAAAATGTTGCTTATGTAACTGGCTGAGTGGCTTGCCAAAGTATGTTGATGACGCTATTTCCTGTATTTCCTTACTCGGTCTGCAAAATGAGGCTTCAGTCATAATTTTTGCTCCTCATCTGATACAACCGTGAACAAAAAATACAGATATTGTAGTTTGTCATTTTAATAGATTTATTAAATATTCATTTAGCAGACATCCTTTTCCAGGGTGATGCAGTCATAATATTAACTTACAATAAATACTTCTTTTACACAAACATGAACATAAAACATGAAC